GCCCCGCCCAGACCCCGCCCCTCCAGCGGTTCACCTCCACCTCCTCCCCTACCCTCAGACCTGCCCTCTCCCGGGGTCCGGGCGAGAGGGCAACCGCACATCCACAGGTGTGGGGGCCGCCCAGTTCTCCTCCAACCCCACTCTACCGCATGGCCCCCACGCCCCTAAAGGCTCCCTACTTCACTCCCCTTAGCTGACCACGACTTAGACCAAATGAGCTCAAAATGTGAGGTTTGAATCCACCAGCTGCTCTGTGGAGAAAGGCAATTTCCTCCGTGAGGTTTACTTACTGCCTCTGAAAACCCGCTGGAGGGTCAGTTATAGGTCAGTTCCCACTAGACGGTACACAACAACAACAATGATGCATAACAAAAGCTTTGTTGCCAAGGAGCTTCAAAACAGGTCCACTTCTCAGGGTCTACGTCCTTTGAGATGAGATTGCCCGCTCTATCTCCCCTTTCTGGCACAGTCATTAGATGACAGGGGAGATCGCTTTTGTTGGTTATGTGAGGTGCAAGTCTGGTGACCTAAGGTGAAGCTCTGTTAACGTGTTGGAACCTGACCCTCACTGAAAGCCTAGTGTGAGACGAACATGCTACCTAAAACATAAAGGCCTCCAATAGTATGAATCATTGTTTACACCATTCCCAGAGGTAGGGCTCTTGGAGCCTGGCCATGAGACTATCCTAGCAGGTCCTTCAAAACCAAGGGTCTGTGAGTCTTCACGTCACAGTTCGACCCATGACCAAAAGTCTGACAGGATTCTTAATCCATAGGGTAGGACACTAGGGCCCTAGTCAGTGCCTAAGACTTACAAGAATGTAATATTATTCTTGTTGTGTGCAGTTAGGTGGCAATCAACCTATTGCTGACCATCCAGCGGTTTTTCAGAGGCAGTAAATTGCACGGGAGGAGATTGCCCATCCTTCCCCAGAAAGCAGCGGGTGCATTTGAACTCTATGTCTTTGAGATTACAGCTCAGCTCCCTAAAGCTACTAGGCCACCAAAGCTCACTAAGAATTGAATAAGCTTGTCCATGTTAGGAAAACAGGGTTATAAAAGGTCGGGGCTCTGGGTCCTTCACATGAGAGATGCTTAGAGAATGTGTATGGAAATGTGACCAAGGAAAGAAAAAGGAAGAATAGTGGCCCTAAGGAACTTAAAACCTGGCCCAGCAGCAGATAAACATACTGCCTTGTACTCTTGATAATTGCCAAGTGAGTGTGGATAATGAGCATTCTGGGCCACAGGAGCGAGAAATGCTTCCAGGCTGGGCAGGGCAAAGAAAAGATAATGAAGGGAGGGAAGTTTGAACTGTGCTTAGCTCTGAGGGAATGCTGAGTGGAGAAGAGTCAGTCAGTCAGAAAGAGAGGACTTCAAGTAAAGGGGGGGCAACGTGAGAAAAACATGAGGCCGATGGTGCACAGAACCTATTGGGCACTAAGAATGCCATAGAAGGAGAGAGGAATAGTGAAGAAGTGGGAGAAAATGCGAGGATGGATGCAGAAGGCCTTCATTCTATCACCCCTCAAAGCTGGTGTGTTACTCAAAATGAATCTGCAGTAAGCTTTAATTTATATTCTCATTTTCAAATCTCTTCCGTTTCATGAATTGCTTCTGAAAACTCATCAGAGGATCAACTATGAGTAAGTTCTAGCTCAATGGCACACAACAACAACATCACATATATTAGGGTCCCTGGTGGTACAGTTGACTAAATGTTGGGCTAGTAGCTGGCCTGCAAGTTCAAATCCACCAGCCTCTCTAAGGAAGAAAGGTGAGGCTCCTGTAAGATTTACAATCTTGGAAACCCCATGGAAAAGTTACACTCTGTCTTATAGGATCACTATGAGTAGGAATGGAATCCATGGCATTGGGTTTGATTTGTTTGGTTTTTGTTTTTTTAACCAATTATGTGTATCCAACATCTCAACATCAAGAAAACAAAAATCTTTACCACTAGGTCAATAGGCAAACATCAAGGTAGATGGAGAAAGATTGAAATTGTCAATATTTTCATGTTACTTCAATCTACAACCAACAGCCATGGTAGCAGCAGTCAAGACAACAAAAGATGTGTTATCTTAAGAAAATCTGTCAAGGACCTCACCAAAGTGCTACAGAGCAATGCTGTCAGTTTAAAGACTGAAGTGCACATGCTTCAAACCATGGCCTTTTTCAATTGCTTCTCATGCATCTGAAAGTTAGAAAATGAAAGACCAGATAGGAATTGATGTTTTTGAATTGTGATTTTAGTAAAGAGTACTGAATATCCCACGGACTGCCAAAAGAAAAGCAACTCTGTTTTGAAGGAAGTGTAGCCCAGGGCTCTCTTTAGAGGAAAGGATGGTGAAGCTTTGTCTCACATACCTCAGGCATATTTCCAGGAAGAGCCAGTTCCTGGAAAAATACTTTATGCTGAGAAAGATAAAGAAAAGATCAGAGAAAGAGAAGACCTTCAGTGAGATGAAGCAGAGTGCCAGAGGTGGTGAAGATGGTACAGGACAGGTCAGGGTTCTGATCTGTTGTTCATAGGCTCTCTATGATTCTTAATCAACTCAAAGACACCTAACAACAGATTTAGACAAGGCTGAGCTCCCATTGCGTATCCTGTCAGCCTGTATCAGCTTTTACAATGTTGAAATACTGCAACATCAGTTGGTAATTAGTCACTGCCGGAAGCCTCAGCCTACCCCTGTCTCTCCCTCCACACTCCGTTTAATGTTATATAATTGTGTGCCATTAAGTGGATTTTGACCCATAATAGTCATATATGACAGAGTAAATCTGCTCCCACGTGGTTTCTTGTGCTGTTGTTGCCATGTACAGTCAAATTGGAACTGACTCATAGCTGACCCTCCAGTGGGATTTCAGAGGCAGTTGATCACACAGGAGGAGATTGCCCATCTTTCTCCACAACTTCACCAGCATTTGATGTTTGCTGTTCTGTTAAATTTTGCTGTTCTTATTGGGGCGAGATGATATCTCATAGTTCTTTTTCCAAACATTTTCTTTATTTTGTCTCTCTTTTCACAACTAAAATATAGACTGCACAGGGGCAGGATTTTTTTCCGGTTCAGAACACATTAGTTGAACAATTGAATTTTCCCATATGTAAGTGCCTTTTTTTTTTAAAGGAGCTAAATGTGAGGCTTTATAAAAGCTCTGTCAATGTTGCAATATTTTTAAAATATAAATCTTCTTTAAGGCAACAAACAAGCCAGGTCAAATAAGACTGCTGGCCAGTAGGCTGTACCTTTCTTGAAAGTGGGGTGCCAATGCCTATTTTCACATAGGAGAATGGATCATCAGGGCTAACATTTTTAAGGACATAAACAAGTATTATGGCTGGGAGTGCAGGATGAAACTGGAGACTAGGAAGGTGGCTTGGATAATTGGCAACTTACAAAATGGTGAGGATCTAATTTTGTCAGAGATAGTGGAAATGGTATCGATGGCTTAGATACTCAAACCTGAATATTTTCCAGCTCAAGTGTTCGACTGTGAACTGCAAGAAGAGACTATCACTCTTCCTCTCCAGGAGAATTTGAACCCTTGGAAAAGTGTAGTCTTTGGGCTAGCCATTCAACTTGCCACGAACTGTGTGTGACAGCACAGCAACTTTAGGTAAGGTATTCGACCCTGCAAAAGAAGGCTCCTCAGGCACTGAAGGAGTGAAAAGCTACTTTAGGTGGTGGTAAAAATTTCATTTTTAGAAAGTGACCACCATCTCTTGTTCCACGAGCAATTCTGTAATATATTCTTACTACTTCCTGTGAAGATTTTGTTGTTGTATAACGTCAAGTCAGAGCCGGCCCATAGCTGACACTCCAGTGGGTTTTCAGAGGTAGTAAATTGCATGGGAGGAGATTGCCCTTCTTTCTCCTGCAAAGGAGCTGGTAGATTTGAGCCATGTGCCTTCGGGCTTGCAGCACAGCTTCTTACCATAGGCTACCAGAGCTCCATGAAGAGATGAGGTTTTTGGTCATCTAGTCCAGATGAGTTTTCAGATGACTCCTGTACTGGTCAGTACCTAACCACAACCAGAACTGAGAAGTCCAACAAAGAACTGCCTAGTGGAGCTCAGCGAGCGAATCAAATTCTGGTTAAAACAATCTCTTAAGCCACTGTATTTGGAGATGTTTGTTATACAGGAATAGATGATCAGAACACATGTTGTTGTTGTTAAGTGCCGCACACTTCCATCATGTGTAAAGAGGACTTGTATTTGTGTTTGGGTGAAGAAACAGCAAATGTCTTACATGGGATTAGAACTGGTCACATGGGTGTGAATTAACTCTGGAAATTCATTATGAGGGATTAGAACTGGCTACATGGAGAAAGAGAATTTCCACTGTTTTAATTATTTATTAACTTAAAAGGAAATTAGAATTTTAAAAGAAATCATAAAAAATGAAGCTCACTCTAGATTTAGAGAAATCCTGGAAGCAGGGGAGCTAGTTTTGAGAGGTTTTAGATTTACATAGAAGTTCTGATATTATAGTGCATTTTGTATAGCCCTGCTAACCAAAAGGTTGGCCTAACCCACTAGCCCCTCCAAG